CAATCATAGTTTTTAGTTATACGAAAGTTATTGTTTGCAGGCTTTTTTTTGACTTTTTCGCATTAAGTTGTAGCTAAATATTAATTGTTATATATGTATATGTATATATAATATATATATGTATATGAATATTTCTATGTTTTCATAATAATATGTTAAGTTTTTATATTTCCCATTAAATATACTAAAAATATGTTAATGTACATACAACTTGTATTGTTGTATTTTCATTCTAATAAGTTGTTTCACAATTGTTTAATGTAACTTTCAATGGAAATGAAATGCAATATAAATGATAATGAAGAATAAAACAACAAAATTTTAGACTGTGTAAGCTTTATTCTCTTGATATACGTACATACATATGTATATCTCACATAAACACGATCATCTATATACTTACATATACATATGTATATAGTTTCTCTTATTCGGCAGCAGACTATGGTAAGTAAATATGCATAATGTAATTTGATTCTATTGCCCATGTCCTGAGTAAAAGTGTTTCACTTCTGTTAGATCCTCATATCCTTAAAGATTGTCCGCATTCTTCCTATCATTTTCGTTACCTATTATCACTCCGATTAGAAGCCCATTTGACGTTTTTCCATTTTGTAGCCATGGAGCGGTTCAGTATCGAGCAACGCATTCTTATTGTGAAAACTCATTACAAAAACGGGGAGTGCTACGCAGAGATTGCCCGTAAACTTCGCGCGATCTTTGGACGTGACAATACCCCGACCGCAACCAATGTATAATTATGTGTGCATGTAAACAAATATGAAAGTACCCATTATAAGTGTTAATTTGTCTATATGCAACGTATATATGTATGTAAATGTGTACACTCATTGTTTCATGCGAAATCTCCGTTGCCACGGACAACCAATGGCCGAAGCTCACGTTTTGTGTTTTCTTTTCAAAGAGTCACTGTGTCGAAGGACTGACGCGACGACAAAGCGTCACAACATTGTGTTGTTGGTAGAAAATCCGAGCTATGCCGAAAAATAATAACGAACGGCCGCCGATTGTCGCCGCTTCCCTTGCCGCTCTAACAGATTTGCCCACAAATCATCGTAAATATGTATGTTTATATAGAGCATGCATACATATTGACGCAGATTTTTGTGAGCCGCGGAAAAATATTTTAAAATTGTAAAATATTTTAAATCGACAAAAGCTTTGCCGCCAGTTTTGTAAATTTTTTCTGTTTTGTGATTTTGCGGGGTTGCAACTTTTCCCTTCTAGAGGAAACATCAAAATTTGTTCAATTTATGATTTTTAGATTTTGCCATCGCTGCGAAAAGACGTTTGTAGGCAAACACATGCTCGGGGAGATGAGAGGGTGTCTGGTTTTATGAATGTTGTTGTGTGATTTACTATGTATTTTGGCTTCGGCTATTTGGATGACATATTGACTTGTGACGATTGTTGTTTTTGTAGAACAATATTTGTGGCAGGGATAATGGGATGCCCAACTCTTTCCAGTGTGAGAGCGCCTCAAAATGATGTACTTGGATTCAGTTACGTATTGCTTTTAAAATTTTCATGAAAATCAATACCATAGCTGACATCAAAAGATATCATCACATACATTTCAATTTCGTTTTCACATCTTGGTTTCTAATTTTGTTGTGATCTTCAACAGCGCAAATCTCTCTGTTTACATATTTTCATGTCTCTGATTTTACACATATACGCTAAAACCACAAATCAGAGATAAGAGATGCCCAACTCGTCTCTCACTGGAAATGAGAGCGCAATTGATAAACGTCAAAACCTAGACTCAAGCAACTGTCAAAGTTCAGTAGGTCTGACGTTAACAATTGGAAAAAGAGGACGCCAGATTAAAATCCTACGGAAAATATGTAAACAGAGATTTTGCTTGAAATCACTAACAAAATTAGAAACAATGAAATGAAAAAACGCGAAATGAAATAGATGATGATATCTTTAATGTCATGCTAAGTAATTGATTTTCAATTGAAATAATTTAAATAATTGAGCTAATACATTTATTCTTTGATTACGTATTGAAAGTTCAAAATC